TTGGTTCCAAAGAACTAAATGTATTTAAGCTCGTTTTCGACGGTTGTACAAGTTTGAGAAAGGCTTAATTCTAAGTTTAATAAAATAAAGAACTTTAAGAGCGATTTTATTTCTGTACGCGTATTCCCGAAGCAGAAAGTTCGGAATTTCGGCGAAAGGCGAAGCGCGATGTTTCGGCGACCGAAGACTGATTAAGAATCAAAGTTAAGCGGTTAAAATCAACCCGCTTAAATACTGAGGAGTCCCCTTTGTTCCAGGGGCCGTCCGTCACCTCTCCGCCGGACTCGTCATGCTCCGTCGGCCAGCCGAGTCGGCGAAACGGTAGCGAGGCGACATGTAAACAGCTGGTACAAAGGGGAAGACTGTTACGTTATTATGGAACGGTTTAGATTCTAAATAGGGCCTATTATTAGATAACCAAATTGATTTATGGTAGTCTATTTATGGAATCCATAAGCGTTTAGAAGTCTTTAAAGGTGTGTTGAGAACCTTAACCGTTTTAAACTAAGTAAACGACTTTTAAATTTGAAACGTTCGGTTTTCGCTCGAACAGTCACATTCCATTTCGTGATGAAAGTACATTTATGTCCGAAAACGAATCTTCGAAACAATGTTTTCTTCGACGGCAACACGAGTTGAAACCTATGTTGGGTAACGCAAGTGTCGAACAATTTACTCACGCAGAGCAAATTATTGAAGCGGCGCTCGCCCAGGCTGTTGCTTTGAATGTTGTACATGAAGAGGAAACTAATGAACATTTAAGTGATGCAGTCAGAATTCATGCCGACGAAACAATATATTATGATCAAGGTGATTTATATGAAGATCAACAGCAAGAAACAATTGCAATGCCAGAAGACGTGTTCCTTAATAGTATTCGAAGTATTAATATTCAACAAAAAGACTTATTTAAATCAGTTTCCGCAGTAATTGAGAAAAATATTAAAGATATGATGATGAAAATACGGAACAAATGTTGCTTTTTATTACCGGAGGCGCTGGTAGTGGCAAGTTGTTTATTTTAAAATTACTTGTTGAACACGTTAAACGCTGCTATAATCCTACAGTTGATACGATGATAAAACAACCTTTCATTGAAGTAGCGTCTTTGACTGGCGTCGCCGCCCCTGAAATATTCGGAAAATATTCGAGATATTTAAAAGTTCCGAAGCCGCACCAACATAATAAAGATACAGAAACACCGTGGCCCCTTTCTTTGAAATAACTCGGCACTACTCCGGGCTGCAAATGCCACTTCCAGCTTAGGTGTGCAGAAGAAGAACAACAAGAAGAAGAAATATCCCGGAATATGTCCGTGAGGCCCCTTTCCTTGAGCTAAATCTGCAAATATCTCGGAAACGATGCGAGCTATGGCAAAATGTTATCAGACCTTTTTTGTAGAGAATTAAGTTTCCTACTATCTATGTTCTATGATATTTTTTGATAAGATGCGTAGTTTTCGAGATATACCTAGATATTTAACAGTTCCGAAGCCGCACCAACATAATAAAGATACAGAACCACCGTGGCCCCATTCTTTGAGATAACTCTGCACTATTGCGAGCTGCAAATGTCACTTCCAGCTTAGCTGTGCAGAAGAAGAACAACAAGAAGAAGAAATATCTGGGAATATGTCCGTGAGGCCCCTTGCTTGAGTTAAATCTGCAAATACCTCGGAAACGATGCGAGCTATGGCAAAATGTTAAGGGACCTTTTTTGTAGGAAATTAAGTTTCCTACTATTTATGTTCTATGATATTTTTTGATCAGATGCGAAGTTTTCGAGATATATCGAGAAATTTAAAAGTACCGAAGCCGCACCAAGATAATAAAGATACAGAAACACCGTGGCCCCTTCCTTTGAGATAACTCTGCACTATTCCGAGCTGCAAATGCCACTTCCAGCTTAGCTGTACTGAAGAAGAACAACAAGGAGAAGAAATATCTCGGAATATGTCCGCGAGGCCCCTTTCCTTGAGCTAAATCTGCAAAGATCTCGGAAACGATGTGAGCTATGGCAAAATGTTGAAACCATTTTTGTAGCAAATTAAGTTTCCTACTATTTATGTTCTATGATATTTTTTGATGAGATGCGTAGTTTTCGAGATATATCGTGATATTTAAAAGTGCAGAAGCCGCACCAACATAATAAAGATACAGAAACACCGTGGCCCCTTTCTTTGAGATAACTCTGCACTGTTCCCAGCTGCAAATGCCACTTCCAGCTTAGCTGTGCTTTACGGTCGAAACTGTTCCACATGAACACTTCCGAACTATTCGATAGTAGGTACTATTTTTTAAAAATATATTTTATGCTTTCGATACACGATGATCTTTGATCTGTGGCTTAAAAAGGAATGACGATCGTCTCGTCCTCAGCTCTTCGATGGCGGTTACCCTCCGGCTTCGAACCTCGAGTTTTCTAAACACTCGAGAGCGATAAGGCCGGGTGACGATTCGGGGAAAAGAACGCAATTATTTGAGGCTATGGTAGGAGGTGTAGGCTTACGAAGATTTGTCAAAGAATGAATTAGAATTACGTTGTAAAATGAATAATTTATTTCACAAGGGAAAAAGCCCGAAGGCATAAAAAACCCTTGGATTCGTTTGTTAAAGGGAAAAAGCCAAAAGGCATAAAAAACCCTTGATTATTGATTACAAATTTGATATTCTGTATTGGAATGTAATTGTATGTGTGAGTGTATCGCGTGTGAACTTTGATTTAAACGTGTACACGTATGGTGGGCGCCCGTCAGCGATTAATAATCGCGTGACTCCGGATTTTTTGGGAAACAGTTCCCCTATTAGTTTGAATTTTATTGATTCGGAAACCAGGTTCCGTCGGAGACTCCTGCGCGGGAAGACGTCTATTTATGATGATACGGAAACCAGGCTCCGTTAGAGTCCCCCGCACAAGGAGACGTCCGGACGTCATCAGAGACGTCAAAATGATATTGTTTTGTTGCTAGCAGGGCCCTGAGCTTGAATTAATAAAATACTACTGAATTTAACTACGCGATACAAAATCACCCGTTCGACCGGTCGCGCCCGAGGTACGTTAACGAATCCTTTATCGAGGCATGAGTGCCCCGTTCTTCTCTCTCTAAACGTTGCGATACCCTTCGGTTCTCCGAAGAAACCGTCCGGCATCTCGCGTCAACCAAGTTTTCTAAATATTTTAAAACGAACGCGCAGACATGTGCAGAAGAAGAACAACAAGAAGAAGAAATATCTCGAAATATGTCCGTGAGACCTCTTTCCTTGAGCTAAATCTGCAGATATGTAATGTACATTTAATACCAATATCATTATTACGATATCTACATGAGATATAATGTAATATACTGATTGCTACCCACAGATCAATGTACATTTAATGACAATATCATTATTACCATATCTACATCAGATATAATGTAATATACTGATACATTCCCACAGATAAATATACATTTAATAACAATATCATTATTACTATATCTACATCAGATATAATGTCGTATACTGATTCATTCCCACAGATCAATGTACATTTAATAACAATATCATTATTACTATATCTACATTAGATATAATGTAATATACCGATTACTTCTCACAGATCAACGTACGTTTAATAACAATATCATTAGTATTATATCTACATTCTATATAATGTAATATATTGGTTCATTCCCACAGATCAATGTACATTTAACAACAATGACATGACTACTATATCTACATGAGATATGTAATGTACATTTAATAACAATGTCATTATTTCCATATCTACATTAGATATAATGTAATATACTGATTCCTTCCCCCAAGTCAATGTACATTTTATAACAATATCATTAGCACTGTATCTACATTCGATATAATGTCATATACAGATTCATTCCCACAGTTTAATGTACATTTAGTAACAATATCATTATTATGATATCTGCATGGGATATAATGTAATATACTGATTGTTACTCAGAGATCAATGTACATTTAATAACAATAACATTAGCACTATATCTACATTCGATATAATGTGATATACTGATTCACTCCCACGGATCAATGTACATTTAATAACAATATCATTAGTACGATATCTACATTAGATATGTGATGTGCAATTGATAACAATATCATTATTACCATACCTACATTCGATATAATGTGATATACTGATGCATTCCCACAGATCAAATGTACATATAATAACAATATCATTGGTACTATATCTACATTAGATATGTGATGTGCAATTGATAACAATATTATTATTACCATACCTACATTCGATATAATGTGATATACTGATACATTCCCACAGATCAAATGTACATATAATAACAATATCATTGGTACTATATCTACATTCGATATGTTATGTACATTTAATAACAATATCATTAGTACTATATCTACATTCGATATAATGTCATATACAGATTCATTCCCACAGATCAATGTACATTTGATAACAATATCATTATTACTATATCTACGTTAGATATAATGTCATATACTGATTCATTCCCACAGATCAATGTACATTTAATAACAATATCATTAGTACTATATCTCCATTAAATATGTAATGTACATTTAATAACAATATCATTATTACTATATCTACATTAGATATGTAATATACATTTACAAACAATGCCATTATTACTATATCTCCGGGGGAGTTCCGCTGTGGTAGCGGTCGTGAAAGGACGTGTGCCGAGACAGGCGGAGCAATAGAGTTGTAAAAGAGATAGAAAAGTGGGGGAGAAAGGTGCAAGGGTTATAGAAAAGGGGAGCGGTTAAAGAAGAGAAGGTGGGACAGAATAGGAGAAAAGCAAAGCAGTGAACATAAGAAGAAAATAGAAGACAAGTGGGCCCAAGGGTGTGAGGTTAGGTCCGGAAAGCGGTAGAAAGAGCTCGAAGTCGGGAGTTGGGAGGAGGAGGTACTGCACAGAGGAAGCCCCGGTAGGTAACGAAGAGCAGGACGTTCGAGAAGCGGGAAGTATGGCGGACAAGGTGGAGGAAGCAAAAGAGACGAAAAAAATGTGGGAAGGTAAAGAAGACACTGGGAGAGGGGACAAAGGGGGCAAAAGGGGAAGGCCGACCAACGTGGAGGCGCTGAAAAAAGAAAAGAGCCAGAGTATGGGAAACATGACAAGTATAGAACAAATATGGAAAAGGAAAAGCGAAACGGAGGCCGAAGAAGAAGGAGAGAGCGGAAGTAGGGGAAGATACAGCCCGCAGGCAGAGAGATGGATGTTCAGAGGAAGCAGTCTAGTGGAGAGGTCGCCGGAAAAGAGAAAAGAGAGAATGGAAGACGGGGAAGGGCTGGGGGAAATAAAGAGGATGATTAGAGAATTGGGAGAAGATTTGAGTAAGAAAATAGACATAAGTGCAAAGAACCAGGGGAAGGAGATAAGGGAGGAGATAGCGGGAGTAAAAAAGGAAATAGAAAAAGAAATAGGAAACCTAAAAGAAGAAATTAAAAAAAGAGAGGACAAATGGATAGCGCAAAAGAGAGAATTAGAGGAGAAAATGGAGCTACTAAAGAAAAAGGTAGAGGAGCTAGAAAGGGGGGAAAAAGAAAAGGTCAAATGGAGTAAACTAGAAGAGAAAATACAAAGTATGGAGCAGGGAGTAAGAGAGAAAAGAAAGACGAAGAATGAAGACGAGGTAATAAAAGAAAACCTGAGAGAATTAGAGAGCAAGTGGGAGCGAAAGGAAAAGGAAGAAAAGAGGAGAAATATAATAATCAAAGGACTGAAGGCGAAAAGAGAAGAGATGAGGGAGAAGACAGAAGAGATAATGGAAACAATTGGACTGAGGGATGCGATAGAGGAGGTGAAAGTAGTAGGGGTGGCGGAAGGGGGAAAAGAAGTGAACATGGTGCAAGTAAAACTTAAGTCCATGGAAATAAAGAGAGACGTGATGACGAAGAAGAAAGCGCTGAGGGGAAAGAGAGGCGGATGCAATGGAAGATAAGGAGGATAGCGAAAGAAGAAAGAGAAAAAGGAAGAAGTGTATGGGTGCACTATGGGAGATTAAGAATAGACGGAAAATGGTGGAGGTGGGACGAGGAGAGAGAGATATTGAAGGACTGGGGAGGGAAAGAGTGGCACAAAAAACAGAAAGAGTCGAGTGGGTCGGGGGAAGAAAAGTGAGGGACAAAGAGGAAGGAGAGAAAGGACAAGAAGAAGGGGAAGAAAGAAACAGGTGGTGGAGAAGAAGGAGGAAGGAGGAGAAAGAGAAAGAGGAAAAACAGAAGAAGAAGAAAAAGAGGAAAGCAGGAGAGGGGACAGAAGAGGAGAAAGAAGAGAGCGAAAAGGTTAAGGGCACGGGGTGCGAGGAAGAAAAGGAAGGGTGGGAAATAGGGTTCTGGAACTGCGCCAGGGTAAGAAACAAGGTTGAGAACTTCTGGAGAACGATTACGCAATGGGACGTAATAGTGCTAATGGAGACGTGGCTGGAACAGAAAGGGTGGGAGAAGATAGTGGGAAGGTTACCAAAAGGGTATAGGTGGGAAGCTCAAATGGCAGAAAGAAAGAACAAGAAAGGAAGTTCAATGGGAGGAATGCTGATGGGGGTGGAGGAGGCCCTGATGGAGAAGGAAGGGAAGATAATAAAAGAAGAGGAAAAGGGGGGAATGATGACGGCGGAATTTACGAAGGGAGAGGAGAAGTGGAGAATAGTGGGGGTGTATGTGAACGCGGACATAAAAGAAAAAATGAGGGAGCTCAGGATAAGGATGGAGGACATAAGAGATGAAAGAATAACAATTATCGGAGGGGACTTCAACGCGAGGACGGGGGAGGATGGCGGGTGGGGAGAGCTGAGGGAGGGGGAAGAAGAAGAGGGTAAAAGAAAATCGAAGGATAAAAAACACAATACGGAAGGGAGGGCGATGCTGGAGGCCCTAAGGGGAACGGGGTGGGAGAAACTGAATGGGAACATCAGCGGGGACGAGGAGGGAGAATACACTTATACGGGAGCAAGAGGAAACACAGTGATAGATTATGTGCTGGCGGAGGAAGAGGGAAAGAGGAGGATTAAAAGGATGGAGATAGGGGATAGGATAGATTCGGACCACCATCCAATGATACTGAAATTAGAAGGGGGGAGAGTGGGGAAGGAAGAAGGCAGGGAAGGAAAAAAACCAACTGCAAGAGGGGATTGGTTAGAGCAAGGAAGAGAAAGGTTTAAAAAGGGAATTAGGTGGAGGGAGGGGAGGAGGGGACAAATAGAAGAGGATATGGAAGAAATGGCAGAAGAATTCAGAAAAGCTCTTGAAAGAGGAGGGGAGGAAAAGGAAAAACGTAGGAGGAAACGATGGTGGGATAAAGAATGCAGGAGGAGGAAGAAATAAGTGAGAAAGGTACTAAGAGAATGGAGGAAGGGAAGGGTAGGGGGGGAGAGATATAGGGAGGAGAAAAGGGAATACAACAGACTATGCAAAGACAAGAAGGAAAAAGCAAATGAGAAATTCGAGAGGGAGGTAGAAGAGGCAAGGACAGAAAGTGACGTATGGAGAATAATAAACAAGGAGAAAAAGGGAAGAAGGAGGATAATAACGAGAATAAAAGAAGAGGAGTGGAGGAAGCACTTAGTAAAGCTACTGGGGGGATCAGAGGGAAAAGTAGTGCTGGGGGGATGGAAAGAGAGAGAAGGAGACGAGGAAACGGACATAAGCAAGGAAGAAATAAGGAAAGTGGTGGCGAAGCTGAAGGATGGGAAGGCGAAAGGGGGCGATGAAATACCAAACGAGGTCTGGAAATACGGAGGGGAAGAGGTAACGAACTGGGCATGGAAGGTATGCCATAGAATATGGAGAGGGGAGGGATGGCCGGAGGAGTGGAAGGAAGGGATAATAGCGCCCATAAAGAAAAAAGGAGATGGGACAAGGGCAACGGACTACAGGGGGGTGACGCTAATGCCCACTCTCTATAAGATATATGCAGCGGTACTGACGGAAAGGCTGCGAGAGGAAGTGGAAGAAAAGGGAATGATACCGGCAAATAAGACAGGCTTTAGAAGAGGGATGGGAACAATTGATAATATCTATGTGCTAAATTACCTGGTAAATAGACAGATAAAGAGGACAAAGGGAAAAGTAATAGCATTCTTCATAGATTTGAGATAAATAAAAAATAATGAGGTTTAGAAAAGGAGCAGGAAGATGGAAAAAGACGAACTGGTGGTGGAAAGGGAAGAAAATAGAGGAGGTAAACCAGTTTAAATACCTAGGATATATGTTTAAAAGAAACGGAGGGAGTGAATTGCAGATAAAAGATAGGATTAACAAGACAGGGATAGTGATGAGACAGGTATGGGGGATAGGGAAAAGAAGAGGTAGGAGAAACTGGAAGAGAAGAATATGGTTATGGGACAAGTTAGTATGGACGGTTCTATCATACGGAGCAGAGGTGTGGGGATGGAGGGAATGCACGAGAGAGCCCTTAGGTGGACGCTAGGCGTGGACTGGTGCACACCAGGATACCTGCTGAGAGAAGAGCTACAAAGATGGAAAATGAGAATAAGAACGGGAAGGTTGGCATGGGGGTATGAGAGGAAACTGTGGGAAGGAAGAGGGGGGGAGCTGGCCAGGATCTGCTGGGAACAGATAATAAGGGGTGAAACAGAGAGGGGAGAGAAAAGCAAATGGGAGGAGGAAAGAGAGAAGTTCTTCGAGGAAAGGGGAGGGGGATCAGGGAGGCTAGAAGAAAAAAGGAGCAGCGGTGAAATGGGATACGAAGAGTTTGAGGAGAGAGATAAACAGATGCAGGAAGAAGAGAGAAGGGAAAAGATAGTGGACTCAAGGTACAACAGATGGTACAAAGTCATAAAGGAGCCGGGGATACCGAAATACCTAGAGAAAGGGTGGAGGGAGGAAAGGTGGAGAAGAGTGGCCAGATTCAGGCTAGGAAATGAAGTGAAAGAGGCAAAATACTGGGAAAAGGAAGAAAAAAGGAAGTGCAGGGTAGGTGGATGGGAGGAAGAAACATGGGAACACGTTTGGGAAAGATGCGCTGCAGATGAAAAAAGAACGGGAGGATGGCAAGAGAAGGTACAGCAGATGCTAGGGGGAGATGGGGAAGGAGAGGAATGAATGAAAGAGATACAGAAATACAGGGGAGAAGAGGAGGGGGGAACATAGAGTAAGAGTAGGAAGAGCAGTGACAGAGGACGCCACAGAAGAGACACGCCACGAGGCACGAGAGAGGTTAGTGAGCACGTGCACGGACAAGGCGTTATTAAGATTGAGAGAAAGGACGCAAGAGATAAAAAGCGATAAAAAAGCAGAAAGGAAATTCTAGAAAAAGGAAAGAAAGAAGAGAAATGGAGAATATGATTGAAATGGGAAAAGAAATAAGGAGGCTGAGAGAGGAGATAGAAAACCTGAGAGAAGAATTGAGGAGTTGGAGGTTAGAAGAGAAAAGAACAAAGGAAAAGGAAAAAGACAGGCGAGCCAAAGAAAGGGAGGATGATGAAGAAGAAGCAGCAGGGGAAAAGACAGACGGGAAGAACAAAGAAAATGAGGAACAGGACAACAAAGAAAAAGGAAACAGGGAAGGGAGGAGGGTAAAGAACACAAAAGAAGAAGAGCAAGAAGAGCCAGAGAAGAAGATGGAAGAAAAGGGGGAAAGCAGAAAAGACACAGAAGAAGGAGCGAAGGCAACCAAAGGAAGGGGAGGAGGATGGGGCACAAACATGATGACAAAGGAAATAGAAGAAAGAAGAGAGAGATGGATAAGAGAAGAAGAAAGAAGGAAAAGTATAAGAAGAGGAAAAAGCCTAGTATGGAAAGGTGTAGAAGGGGGGAGCCTAGAGGAGAGGCTAAAACATATCAAAATAATATTAGAAAAAGAATTAGGGGAAAAAGTGTCAATAAAAAGTGCAACAGAAAGAGAAGGGGAAGGGGGGAGGATAATAGTAATCACGGAGTTGGGGGAAGAAGACAATAGAAAAGAGATGGTGTGGATGAAAAATGGGATATGGGAAAGATGGAGGGTGGAAGTAGGCGAAGACCTAAGCAAGGAAGAAAGGAGATTAAAATGGATGATAAAAGAAAAAGCAAAAAAAGAAAGGGAGGCAGGCAGAAACGTGATGTACAATAGTAGAAGAATTTGGGTGGAGGGAGCAGAACTAAAGTGGAACGAGGATGAAAAAAGATGGGAAAAGATAACACTGAGGGAAAGGCTGGAAAGGGCAACGAAGTAGAAGAAGAACAGAGAGGAAGAAGGGAAGAGGGAGAAGAAAGACAAGGAAACCAGGGACGAAGACCAAAGGAAGAAAAGACAAAGATAGAAGGGAGAGAAGAGAAAGAAGACTGAAGAGAAGGAAAGAAAACAAAAAACAAAGGGGAGAGAGACTGATAATAGTATGTTAATGAGGCTCAAGCAACGTGGTTAGGGAAGTAGAAGGTAGGGCAAAAAGTTAAAAATTTTTTATCCAGTTTAGGAGTTATGAGGGATAGATACCTGACTATGGGAGCATTTGAAGGTTCGTTTTGGGCGTATGAAACAAGAGAAAGTATAGGGAAAAGAGGGAGGGGTAAGGGAAATCAGCGGAGTAACGGCAAATGTAAAAGGAGACAAGGAAAAAGAATTGTGACAGGTTGGGGAACGCTCCTGGAAAAAGCGCCTTTGTATCCCGAAAGGGAAAGAATAAAATTCATTACATATTACTATATCTCCGTTGGACATAATGTAATATACTGATTCCTTCCCCCAGATCAATGTACATTTAATAACAATATCATTAGCACTATATCTACATTCGATATAATGTAATATACTGATTCATTCCCACAGATCAATGTACATTTAATAATAATATCATTAGTACTATATCTACATACGATATAATGTAATATACTTATCCGTTCCCACAGATCAATGTACATTTAATAACAATATCATTAGTACTATATCTACATTCGATATAATGTAATATACTGATTCATTCCCACAGATCAATGTACATTT